ATTCATACCCACTAAAACTGTGTATAGAGTCCAAGGTGGCTGACTTTTCCTAGAAGTCAGAGATCATGGTCACCCAATATCCTCATTATCCAAAGAGAGGGGGCTTTGAGACCATGCCATGATGCTGAAAAGGGCAAATCCAGTGTTGGTTTCACCTGGGCAAAGTACCCATCCTGATTCACAGTCACCTCTTTTTCGCTGAACCCTTCTTACAGTCAGAGTTTGGGCCATTTAACAAAGCAATTGATAGTACTCTCCACATGAAAACTTTAGTTCAAGGAAACAAACAATTTAAGAAGTTGTTTCCCACAATATCTAAAACAATAGACTTTTCAATAGAAAAGGAAAAAAAGATGATGTTAGAGAAGAGCCTCACTAAACTGGGAAGCTAGCAAAAACAGGGTTTTTAAAAAAATGTTCATAGTAAACTCTGGGATAAAAGTTTTTCAAATTAATTTCAAATTCTTCCAACTGTCAACTGGAATTAAATTTTTAATAATTTCTCTAACAGAATCCATGTTTTTTCATCCAGCTCCATCTAGGAACATGAAGTAAAAAAAGGCAAACTATTCCTTATAGTAACAGATATGTTTAAAATAAAAATTATAGCATATAGTAATACTAAGCAAAGGCATAAATAAATATAATTACATAATTATTGTTCTCTAAATACTTCTGTCAAAAGTAACACATTGTTAAATCTTTTAGTGAGTTCACTTCTTCATGAGCTGCTGTATGTGTCTAAAACAGAAGTTCCTCCAAATCAAGAAAGCACCAAAGTAAATCTCTTAAAGTAACTGATATTCATGGTTTAAAAAGTTTCTTTGAACAATAATTTACAATGGAGTAAACATTTAAACTTCAGAATGAAAACCATTTGCATCAGTTAAGGCACATCTGAACACCTCTAGGCATTCATATTTATAATTCCATTATTACTAACTTCAATTATCAGGGATTTCTAAAAACACGCTGTCTCTGAACACAATCTGCTGAGTGGGTTGGATAACTAGACAGGGAGGGAGAAGGCAGGGTAGTACTCACTGTCACTCTAGAGACTGCCCACACAAATCTGTTCATGCAGTCAACAGTACAGCATCCACTGTTGAAAGGACTCAGTCGATGCACACTCCTAATTTTCTAGATCCTACATTGACCCCGCCAGCTTTATAATAACATCTACAATTGAAAGGAATTTAGCATGTTCAACTCAGCCTATGGGAGCACAGTAGCTGTGTAGGATAAGCACTGAACTGTGAATCACAAAGTCAGTGGTTTGAGCCCACTAGCCACTTGTGGGAAAAAGATCAGGCTTTCTGCTCCAGCAAATATTAACAGGCTGGGAAAACCCTGTACAGAGTCTCTATGAGTTGTAACCAACTCGAGGACACTTAACAACTCAGCCTATGAATGCTCCCTAAAAGAGAAACAGGGAGTTTTCAAAGTAGGAGACAACAGAAATCTTCAAAATGATTCCTTTAGTGAAGGATCCCAACTCATTCCAAAAAAGACATGAGAGAACCGCAGATGCAATTATAATCGAACAAGACCAAGTGGCCTCCTTTTCTAAGACTAGAAAACAAAGATTTTTAAAGAGGCTCCTCAATTACAGTCAGTAACCAACTTAATTTAGTTACTCAGTGATTTATAAACTCAACTATGATTCTACTATAAACTTTAAATTTTTATCTATAAATTAATTAGCTGATATTCTCTATTCTTCAATTCAGTTTGTTGTGACCACTTAATATAGAAACTTACTAAGTTGATTTAAAGAGTAATACAGATGCAATAATATACTGTTTTTCCATTTTCATCCAGATCATACTTTTACTTAAAGTATAAAATCTAAAAGCAGTGTAGACAATTTTATATGACAAAATATGAAACAATGTCTATAACAGGGGTCATGGCATGTTCACATATTTATAATATTAATGCTTAGCAAAATCTTAGAACTTCCTTAGTAACTCCTGAGTCATGAATTTTGTTTTCTTCTTGAAGTTGAACTGTCTCAAAACAGAAATTTAAAGCAAAACTATACAAAATAATCTTCAAAGTGTGAATCAGATTTGATTAAGAGAAAGTAGACATATTTTCATTTCTAATATAATACTTTTGAGTTCCTTATGAGATTAAACATGAAAAATATACAATGGTATAATAGTTTTAATGTTATAAACTTTTCCCCTACTATACAGAAATATATCTTATAATTATGTATCACTTTATAGTATTTCAAAATATTTTCACATATATTATTTCCTTGGAGGTATGAAAGCACAAAATATTAGAAATGTATTAGACTAATCAAGCAGCATAACATCTATTGGAAATAAACTATAGCTTGCATTAAATGCAAGTTAGTATTTTATTAATAGGCAATATCTAGTATCCTTGCAGTTTTGGTACAACAATACAGACTATATACTGCAATGATTCAATAATGTTTCTAGCTATTGAAGCATGCTTTACCACATTTTTTTTAAAAAAACAGATTCCCAGTAATTTCTGCAAGCATATGGTCGTTTTAAAAAATACAAATATTGGAGATAAACCCTGGGGGCTGTTTCCTATCTAAGACATAATACATATCCATAGATCTTATTTGTAAAAACTATTGAAATGTACAAAGTATTCTTAATAGAAAAAAAAATTGAAACACTTATAATTTTTATCTGCAAAAGGAATGATATCCTTTTACTTAATTGCCCATGAATAGTTTTCTCAGGTTATTTACAAATTAAATGTAGGAAACATACTATTCCATATGAATATGGATTTTAAAAACACAATGACGGAAAAAGGCCACTATTTTAGATGGAAGCCAGGCAGTTTTCCCCTTGAAACTAAATATTTTCAAACTAAATGCTACAAGCTCATCAAATCCCATTTACGAATAATATCCTAAACCTTAAGTTGCTGAATGAGTTTTTTACTTCTATGGGTTTAATATGCTACAATTTCTAAATAAGTCAGACTACATTATTTATTTTAGATTTGGTCACTATTTACTAGCATTTTAGTTTACAGGCACATAATGCTAGTAGTAAGCATTTAGAATGGGGTTTGAACACTTTATCGTGTAAGAAAAATTGGTAAGAATGTTTGATTCAAATAAATTATATTCCTACAATCAGCCTAACAGTCGATGAGGGGGGCTTCAGAAAGTTCATGGAATAATAGATAATGGAATTTTTCTGTGAAGTTTTTTAAGTGCTCTTACTGCTATCCCCTAAATACTACGAATTTGTCTACTGAGCTTTATGAGAGTGCTACAATACCACTACAGAAGAGGGTGCATATAATTCTTGTGTGCAAAAATAAGTAAATAAGATGCAAAAGCAGAACTGTTTCTCCAATACTAGTACTCACGTCACAAAATGGTAGAAAGCTAAAAGATTTTATTTTATGGGAAATAAAATAAGAAAACATTTCTATGTTGTACTCATTTGGATATGATATACAACGTAAGTTATTACCATTAATATAAAAATTAATGGCTGAACTATGTTGTTTCACATTAACTTCAAAGCAATAAAATTGTATTTTTAAAGGCGTAATCTTTGTGGGTTTATTTTCTAGACGTTCACTGCTAAAAATGGAACTATAGAGGTAAGAGATGATATGATGTGTTAGATAATAGGACATATTAGAAATTCTTTCAGGGGTTAACCCTAATATGTCCTATTTTAAAAATATTTTAATATGACCTATTTTGAGAACTGTCTCAAAAGCCTAAGAGAGACACAAAAGTCAATTCCTTTCTAAACTAAACAAAATAAAAATCTTACTTATTGACTGCTCTAACTGTATTTATATGTATGCTTTGAAATTTTCACTGTTTCTGATTGTTTTATGATTTGTAATAATAATTAGTAACAAGACACAAAAATATTTATTTTTAAAGAGTGTTAGGTAACATATTAAAACTAAGTATATAGAATTTCAAATTTGATTTCAATGTTAAACTTTGACAATTTTGTGATGCATCAAATGATGGTTTTAAAAGATACACTGGAGATTAAATGTATTATTAATCTCATAATCCACGTGGTACTGAGATCCTAATGGTTTTAGTGACCACTAGCTCAATGCCAATGCTAGAGGCATAGCTCTTTGAAATGAACAATTCCTTTATTTCATTTGTTTAAAATTCTGTAGCCATTTGCATTCAGTGTCAGGCAGCAAATGTCTACGGAACAGCCCTCGAAAGCAAAATTCTTTCTTGGACTTTTGCATCAAAATTTGTTTTAAGCATTTAATACAGAAAAGCATATTTATTATTTTAAACAAAGCATATTCTTGAAATCATACACTTAAAGCTCACTCCTGTTCCATTTAAATTTCAACAGAAATCACTTTACTGTACATTAGAGATGCACATGCTAGTTGACTAAGATGGCAGGATGAGGTTTAGTGCAGACAGAGGGAAACTGTAACAGTCTGTGGGACTGATGGATGGGATGGGGAGGCCAAGAACATCCATTTTACTTGATCAAAACTTAAAAATAAGTACATTGAGGAATTGGAATACAACTATCCAAATGGCTCTTCTGAATTTTCTAGCTAAAAAAATAAAAGTCTATAAATCAGGAAAAGGTTGTGTCAATACAATGACATCATTCTTTGATTTTCCTCATGTAGATTATAACTTCTCAAAAGAATTTACTTGATATAACATACTAAATGAATGTTTTCAGGTGCTCTGAAAATAATTTAAAAGTGATCATTCTGTATAGAATTTGAAAACTCACAACCTAAAAGCATTACAGAACACATTTATTTATTGGATCTGGTCTTAAGACTTCTTATCAAATATTAAATTCATTTTTATCTAAAAATGAAAAACAAAAAAATATAACATAAAACACAAGTAGATAGCTAAATTTTGAAATCTGACCTTTTGTTTCTTAGAAAAAATTCTACCATAGTTTGTTTTTGTTCATTTGGTTTTATTTTCCCCCTTACCTAAATGGGTTTGTGGGTTTTCTGGTAATTCACTGTAATAGTGTATCATCATGAGAATTTGTATTTTCAGGATTGTCACTGTTTTTGTTAGCATTTTCAACATCTTCATCTTTTTCAGAAAGGGGCACACTCTCCTTTCTCTCTATGGAATTGTTCATTGTTTTTTCTGGTTGAGAATTTGAATTTTCACTGCTACAGTCCTTTTCACTGTTTCTTGGCTTGGCAGCTTCGTTGCTGGGCTCTGCTTGAGGTCTATCTGTTTCTTCTCCAGAGTCTTTGGGTGTGACTTTTTTATCTTCTGCGGTTTTGCCATTTAAAGGAACAGCAGAGGAAGAATTTTTGGACTCCTTGGATTTTTTGTGCATAGACGTTTGACTGTTAGGACCAGAGACAGGTGGGGTGGACGTTTTGGGGTCTTTGCTTCCCTCCGACGGTTCTTTCCTAGGCGGCCCCCAGATAAAATTCTCTGAAGGAATGTAATGTTTCTGTGCAAATCGTAGGAGCTTTCTCCTTTCTCTTCTGTCTCTAATTGTATAAACAAAATACTCCAGCGCACTCTGTTTAATATTGGGAAGAGTGTTCTCCACAAGAGCCTCATGAAGGATAAATTTTACAAGAGGAGATTTAAAACTTTCGTATCCAAGCTCACCAAGGCTTTTAAGAATACGGGTGATTCTTAAATAGTTGTGCTGGGATCTGCAAGAGAGGATTGAATAAAAAAAAAAAAAAAATGCGTAAAAAGTCAGGTGGAGGAAAATGAAAACAATTGGGTAAATGTCTTTTATGGAACTGTAAAGCAAGTAAATATGCCTTGGAGTGGCTCTTTTTTTAAAGTTAAATTAGAAACCATTATGAAGAATAAATTAGAAGATATTTATGCCTCAATTTAATATCAATCTATGTGTAATTTATATATCCAATATATATTTCCTGCTTGTTTAAGTGCTTCATATTAGAAGAATGTTTGAAATAAAAGTCCTTCTTATGGATGTTTAATTAGTATTTGTTTACTAAGTACCCTGTGATGAATAATCTAACAGACCATTTATGAGCAATATCAATTATTGTACCTGTCACTAGTAACCAGTGATAAACAAAAACACATTAACTATCAGTTGAACACCAAAATTTGCTGTGTGAATTTATCAGCAAAATATTACATATTAGTCAACTCAAAAGGAAAACAATAAAATTACTCTACTTAGAGCAATTATGACAAAGGGTGTGACACTGACTTATTTAGCAGAGCATAGTTTAATAGCGCTAAGGAATTCTTGTGGTGTAATGCTTAAGCATTTGGCCATTAACCAATGGTGTGAACCCACTAGCTGTTAAGCAGGAGAAAAGACCTGGTGATCTTCTCTCCTAAAGATTTGTTATTTGTTAAGTATCGTCAAATCATTCCAACTCATAGTGACACTATATAGCATTTCCAAGGAGTGACTGGTAGGTTTGAACTACTGACCTTGCAGTTCAAACCGGCCTTAATTTCCATTGCTTATCCTACAGTGCCACACTCTTAAATATTTTTGTTGTTGCGTGCCATTGAGTTGGTTCCGAACCATAGAGACCCTGTATAGCATTTCCCAGGAGCAGCTGGTAGGTTTGAACTGCTAACTTTGCAGTTAAAACTAACTTTAAGGCTGAGTTCCTAAAGTTGTTAAGTGTTGTCAAATCGGTTCCAACTTATGGTGACCCTGTATAGGGTTTCCAAAGAATGGCTGGTGAGTTTGAACTGCAAACCTTGCGATTCAAATGACCTTGTAGTCCAATGCATTATCCCACAGCTCCATACCAGGACCTGGGAACTCCTATGGAGCAATTTAACTCTTATAATCCATACATGGTCACTCTGACTTACAACACATAACAACAACAGTTTAATACCTAAAAGCATGGGTTTCAAAGTCAGACCTGAGATCACATCCTATCTCTAACACTTACTAGCTATTTGAAATTATGATATCTCTCTAAGCCTCTGTATCCTCATCTGTAAAATGGAGAAAATGGTCCACACCTATTAGAGAGTTGTAAGCATCAAAAGATATGGTATATATGCAAAACATTGAATAACATTTTAAATTACTATTATTACTCTTATTGATTTTACTTCAAGATTTGGTATTAAGGACCATCCAGTTTGTACCTATTCCAACTTAATCTATTCCTTTCCATCTCTGGTTATTCTAGCCTTCTCTTGTTCTACCCAATCATTTAAAATTGTTCTTTAAATAGAATTAATTCTAGTAGCCTTGACTCTAGAGATGCCCTTTTCCCCCAGATTGCACTCACTTATTTCTTCTCTGTCCAAAAATCAAAGTTATCGTCAAATGAATGCTTTCCAAATCTATTTTGGCACAATTCATAATCTATTTCACCCAGCCCAATCTTTGTCTTATTACACATGCCTGGCCACATCCTAAATGGACTACACATATTAGTCATGAGTGTCATCAACAATCCACATATTTACTTACCAATATTTATACTTAACTACAATGTTGTTATTTTTTTTCTAATTGATCAGTAAACCAGTGACCACTGAGTCAGGTACAACTTATTGTGATACCTAATGCTTTAAAACTGCAACTCCTAAGGTTTTCAAAGGCTGTGATCTTTCAGAAGTAGATAGCCAGGCCTTTCTTCCAAGGTGCCTTTGGTTAGGTTTAAACTGCAACCCTGAATTTAGTAGCCAAGAGCTTAACTATTTGTGCCACCCAGTGGCTCCTTTTTATGTAACTGTAACTTCTCTAAACTTGTTTTCTATCTCAGGTACTGAATTTTCTAAAACCACAGCATACACCTACCCTGGTTTCCAAAAGTTCTTGGATTAGGAATAACTAGCAACTTATTTGAGAAGAATAGAAAAGAATGCTGATAAATTATTTGAGGGATGAAAGAAAGAGGTTCCATGGCCTTATATAAGAGGACTTCAAATATATCATGGAAAATTGCCATAACCTTTTAATTCCATTTTTCCATAAACTTTCTGAAGACTCCCTCATAAGAGACTTTATTTAGACAAAATGAAAACCTTAATGACTAGGGCTAACCAAACACTGAAAAGACAAGCCCAACAGTGTTCATGGTCTCTGTGCCTCTGTATACTTACAATACAAAAAATAGTCTTAATATTCAACTTCTTAAAGCCTGAAATGAAAAAAGCTAAAGAGAAATATATAGGTATCAGTTTTACAAATATGCATTTTTTTTTTTTAATGGTTAGAAAGTAAGAATCTTTTGAAACAATGCAAATTTGGGTGAAATAAAGACAATGGACCACTAAGAGCAGGATTAACTTAATTGTTAAATTACTACGGATATTGTAAACTCTATGTAACAAAACTCTTGAGTGATATCTCTTTCTTAAGTCTATGAGAAAGAGGTATATGGAAAGGTACAAGATTTTTTTTTAAATCTCAAAGAAAAGCAAAATGAACTATATTTACAACCACAATAATTTTATATATTCAATTTCAAATGGCTCTATTTGATAAGCACTGGACTACAAACCATAAGATTGGTAATTTGAGCCTACCAGCCACTCCACAGAAAAAAGATGAGACTTTCTGCTCCCACTAAGATGTACTGCCTCAGGAAACTTACACAAGACCACTATGAGTCAGAACCGCCTTGATGGCACTTAACAACAACAATCGCAGATAAATATATTAAAAATTTGCATGTTTAATAGTATCTACAATCTCCATATACATCTTCAGTCTTTTGCTGAAGATAATTCAAAAACGGCTATAACAGTAGATTACAGGAAACTGTCAGAAATTCAAGCCAGAGTCAGAAGAGGACATGGAATGAGGGATACCACTGCTGATATCAGATGGATCTTAGCTGAAATCAGAAAATATCCGAAAGGTGCTTACTTATACTTTATTTATTAATCAAAGACTTCCAACTGTGTGGATCATGGCAAGCTATGAATAACACTGTGAAGAATGCATATCCTAGAACACTTAATTGTGCTCATAAGGAATCTGTACATAGACCAAAAGGCAGAACAGAACAAGGGAACACTGAATGGTTTAAAACTGGAAAAGTGTGTGCCAGGGTTGTATTCTTTCACCATACTTATTCAACCTGCATGCTGAGCAAATAAATTAGATGAAGATGAACATGACATCAGGATTGGAGAAAGAGTTGTTGACTGCATGCAATATGCAGAAGATACAACCTTGCTTGCTGGAAGTGAAAGGGGCGTCATCTTACTGATGAAGATCAAAGACCTCAGCCTTCAGTATGGATTGTACCTCAATGTAAAGAAAACAAAAATCCTCACAACTAGACAAAAAAAATATATATATATATATATATATACACACACACACACACACACACACATATCATGATAAATGGGGAAAATACTGAAGGTGTCAAAGACTTCATTTTATTTGGATTCACAATCAACACTCATGGAAGCAGCAGTCAAAAAATAAATGACATATTGCATTAGGTAAATCTGCTGCAAAAGTCCTATTTAAAGTATTCAAGAAAAAAGATGTCAATATGAGGACTAAGGTGCACCTGACCCAAGCGATGGTATTTTCAATAGCCTCATATGCATGTGAAATTGGACAATGAATAAGGAAAGCCATAGAATAATTGATGCCTTTGCGTTATGGTGTTGGAGAATACTAAAAGTACCATGGACTGCCAGAAGAACAAACAAATCTGTGTTGGAAGAAGTACAGTCAGAATGCTCCTTAGAAACCAGGATGGTGAGACTTTGTCTCTTATACTTTGGACATATTATCAGGAGTGGCCAGTCCCTGGAGGACATCATCATTGGTAAAGTGGAGGGTCAGGAAAGACAGAGGAAGGCCCCCAGTGAGATGGCAGCAACAATGGGCTCAAGTGTAACAATAACTGTGAGGATGATGAAGGGCCAGGCAGGGTTTGGTTCTGTTGTACATAGGGTAGCTATGAGTGGTAGCTGACTGGAGGGCACCTAATAACAACACCACAATCACCAACTTAAAATAATTATACAGCAATAGAAAAGGGCAGAAACCATGGACTTGGAAAGTTACGAGCAAGACTCTGGAACAAAACTATGGCAGAAAACGATTGTTTCAGTCTGACTTGAAGTAAATGTCATAATGAAAGATAACATGGAAATGGATAAAAACTGACTAAATATTCCAAGTGTTGTAAGTAATCTTTGGAGATACACAGCAAGTAAATGAGATAAGCTAAGGTTCCAGAGAGAGGTTAGAGCAGTAAAAGGGGCTGAAGTTGTCAGGAATACTGGGGAAATGAAAAGAGAAATCACGAAGACAAAAACAAGGAAGGCAGAAATTAAGAGATTCCAGGATGTAAAACATAGACCAGTAATCCAAGTTGATTACAAATAAAACTGGAAATACATCATAGTGGATGATCTATAAATATACTCTCATGTCTTAAAATAGTCCACCTCTTTTAATCATGGTTGCTGAAGGTTATTTCATTTCACTTTGATTCAGTATTTTTCCTCTCCTAGAGTTTCCTGCCTACTCTAAAGAACTCAAGATTCAGTACAGATTAAAGCACAAATGAGTTATGACATGTACAGAGAAATCAGAAAAGAGCCCAAATGAAGAAAGAAAATGAAAGAGAAGTTTTCATATAACTCCATATAATTTGTTCAAATCTAGTCAATAAATACAATTTTTTTTTTGGCAATGAAGCCAGGAAGGAAAACTTGTTTTTCTGGCATATTCTAAGGTACTGGACAGTTCATTTGCAGCTGGAAAAGCGTTATGCAATACATGGAAAAAGGAAAAACAAAGACGATGGTGGCAAAGGAGTGAGAGCCAGTTTGTTCAGTCTCCTCTCCCCTGACTCAGGTCAGCCACTCTCTTAGTTAAGCCCTTCAGAAAAGGCTGTTTTCAGCTACAAATCAGAGAAGCTGACAAGAGAACCCCAAAGAAGCCTTAAGTTCACAATTATATTTTGTTCAATCATTCATTCATTCAACAGACTTTTACTATTGCTATTCCAAGCAAATAAACCAAGTTGGAGAAGTAGATTCTCTAAAATGACAGTTGTGAGTACATGGAAGATGAGGTACTATCAGATCCTCACCAAATATTTACTTTTACTTTTGCCATCCTTCATGTCACAAGGCTCCTTGGATACATCTTTCTTTGACAGAATAACAGAAGTGCTTAGAAATGTCATCTAGAGACAGCTACCTGTATTGCTTAAGCAGAGGCATATACATACTTCAGCTTTAAGTGCCTTATATAAAATCAAAGTTAACTTGAGTTATGAGTTAATGGGTTTTCTAGTTAGGATCATAAAGCTTTATGCTCATATCTTCAGTGTTTTAATACAAGCTACCATTTTAATCGCTTTGATTATAGTTAATAAAGGGAAGATAAACATTAATACATAACTCATTTTATCCAAGCAAGATAAAAGTTCTTGAGAGATACACATACAAAAACTTAGGCAAAGAGAAACTGTTTAGGTTACTTTGTGTGTGTGTGTGTGTGTGTGTGTGTGTGTGTTTTCCTTAATACTTGCCCAGTTCAGCTAATTATAATGTGCTACAAAGTGCTTAAAGCTGTTAGTTTCTAGTTAAAGCTGCTAGTTTATGGTCCAGAATTTATAAGTCACCCTATAATTTAAAAAGGGAAAAAAGCACTTTATATGCAAAGAAAATATTAAGAAAAATAGACTTTGGCTAAAGTATAATGAATGTTATAAATAGCTAAGCAAAAGAACATAGCAAATCAAGTCCAAGTAAACAATGCTACAACTTTTATCACAGGTTTCTGGATGTATTAACCAAAAATAGCTTTTGTTTTTTGACCTAAATAGCAAAGATTTTAATTATCCCTCCATATTAGTAAAATGTACATGCATATCTGTCTTATAAAATGACTTTTATATATTATAGGTTAAATTCATGGATTTAACCTAAATAGGCACTATGCTTCAGGATATTAAAAGCAGACTATACCTTCAAGAAGCTTACAAGATAATAGCGGGGATAGGAAAAAACTTCATAAAAGCAATAACCATAAATGTTGAAAGACGGTGATATAAAAAAGAAAAGAGGGCATACTTAGCTATGGGTAATGGGGAGATTTCATGAAGAAACAGCTCTGAAGTTGAATAGCTGTGTTTCTACCTGAAATTTCTTTCCTTTTTGTCATCATTTTGCTTTGTTTCAGAATGTAGAACAGAGGGCAAAATTTATTTTAGATTAGCTTTCAAACCTAAATACCTGGGTCCACCTGCCATTTGTCTCTGTGTTTCACAAAGAATTGTTCCCACAAGGAAAAATGAACATGCCAGAACCCCAATTTTTCACCAGGGCTTTACTTACTCATTCAGATGCTGGAACCTTTCCTGCCAGTTAACAGCCCGGGCCACATTACCAGTTTTATCAATCAATTTTATTCCAAAAAATTCTAACATCATTTTATAAGCCAGGAGGAACCTTCTAATTGCTTCTTTCGTCTTTTTGAATTCCTGATGGAAAAAGGAAAACAGTCTGCTGAAATGATTCAGTAGCTACAGGGGTAATGAAGGGGCAATATTTATTTTGACATCATAGAAAATGAAATAAACCCATATTACCTCAATTTCATATGTAGTTAGTTCTTTAGCATAAAAATTCAAGCCTTGTTCTCTCAGGGGGAAAAGCCTATTTAAAAAAAAAAAAAAGAAATGTTTATGTGAATATTGTCTGGAATGTATACATAATTAAGTAGGACATGGTTCAAAATAGATAATATGTAACTGACCATTGAATGTAAGTGTGGTTGTGCTCCAATTTTTCATAATCTCCTTTCCACTTATTTAGGACTTCTTCAATGTAAACACCTAAATAATAGTAAATATTTAGAACATGAATCAGACATTTAAGTCATTTTAAAAAAATTTTAAGATTTGAATCATGTAAGTTCTAAACTAAAACTTTTTGAAATTGAATAACAGCATATGAGAATAATTATCTGAAAAGATTACTATCCTATGCTATATAAAAGAAAGAAATAGCATCTCAAGTTGCAGAAAATCCTACTACAGTGTTACTTTAGAGTCGAGCTTGGTAAACTCTTGCCCATCCCTGTTTTTATAAGTAAAGTTCTATTGGAACACAGCCACTCACATTTCTTTATCTAGTGGATAGATAGGATTGCTTTCCTGATACCATAGTAGAATAGAGGAGTTGCGACAGAGACTATTGTATGGCCCATAAAACTGAAAAATCTTTACTATGTGGCCCTGTGCAGAAAAAGTTTGCAGACCCTTGCTCTAGAAAATCATGTATCTCTTTAAACATTGGATAGGATCAAAATGAAATATATTCCATGGAAAAATAAAGGAAAGGGAGAAAGGAGTGAGGGAACAAGAGAAAGAAAAGGGAAAATCAAAGGGAAAGGAATAAACAGAAAGAAAAGTTGTAAAGTACCTACTCTGTTGTTGTGTGCCATCAAGTCGGTTCTGACTCATAGCGACTCTGTATAGGGTTTCCGAGGCTGTACATCTTTGCGGGAGCAGAAAGCCTTATCTTTCTCCTGCTATATGTGGGCCCATATTATACACAGGGTACATCTTCCAGCTTAATCCTTACAAAATCTTCCAAACCACTGTTATTATCTCCATTTCATTAATGAGCAAATTGTGTGATTTACTCAAAGTCACACACAAGTTAAAGAGTAAATCTAGGAATAGAACACGGATCTTTCTGGCTCCAAAGAGTATGCACTTTTCACCATTCTCCATTGTTCTCCTGTAAGAACTCATAACAAAATTCTCCTAAGTTTGCCCAGGTCCTCACAGTTGACTATGGGGCCATTTAGTCAATCTTACTTAAAAAGACACAGTAACATTATATTTCTCTAAATTCATGTGGTACTATGGATTAGTACTGGATTTTGAACCACATGGTCGGCAGTTCAAACCCACCAGCTGTTCCTCAGAAACTCTATACAGGGTCGCTATGGGTTGGAATAAACCCAATGGCACTTAACAACAAACATAACTCATTGCAATCTTGTTTCCTCCAGAGATTACTAATTTGTAGTAGAATTTTACTTCTAGAAGGTTTGGTTAAAAGTTGTTTTTGAGTCATACCAGTATCAATTGCCCTTGAGTCTATTCCAACTCATAACAGCCCCATGTTGTCTGAGAAGAACTACTCCATAAGCTTTTCAATAGCTGGCTTTCAGAAGTAAGTTACCAGGCCTTTCTTCCAATGCCTGTCTGCCTGGACTCAATCCTCCAAATTTTTGGTTAGCAGCCAAGTATGTTAACTGTACTATGCAGGAATTCACTTTTGAATCATACTATTGACTTTATCAATTCATTGAAACTAGTATCTCCATAGTTCCACATTTGGTTTTCGTTCAATCAATCCCTCTCTTCCTATTTAATCAGTAAAATATGTCAGTGCAAGTCTCTGTTTAGGTGTATACATATTGGAGAGGGAGGTATGTTTGTGAATGTAGTATTGATAATAAATGCTCGAGTATTTTATGGGACCTTCATTAACACTTATGCACCCCCGATCTCAAAAGATTTCAAAATAAACTCGGTGGTAAAGATTACAAAGAATTTAATAGATTGCTTGACTTGCTGTTTAAGTTACTACCTTAAAATAAATTCAGTACTTTAAATACAGTAGTAATTTAGTCTTCAAAATACTGCAATATCTCAGTTTAATATTCTTAATACTTAAAGGCATTCCATTAGATAAATCTTACAAAATTCAAATCAGAGTTAAATAATCAATTTGATCATTGTATATCTAAAAAGGTTTTCATACCCCAAGTCCTTAAAAAATAATGATTTAATTAGTATTATATTTATTGTTAAGGAGCCCTGGTTGCATAGTGGGTTAGGCACTGGACTGCTAACCACAAGGTCAGCAGTTTGAATCTACCAGCCATTTTGCAGGAGAAATGAAGCTTTCTGCTCCTGTAAGTAAAGACTTACCAATTCTATGGCACATAACCACCACCACTAATTTCCATTTGCAAATAAAGCAGCAAGCTTTTATCATTAGTAAGTTCAGAAGTGCATTTCTATCCAGAGATTTCCCTCCAAATCAGAGCAGAACTTTTGGGACACCAGAAAGTTAATTAAAGATAAATGGATCTGGCCATTTTCACAATGATCTTAAGTCGTTACTTCCAACTGGGGCACGTTTCAGGACACAGTGCGGGGAATTCCTTCTCCCAATACGCTACCCAGTCTTCAAATCTCCAGTTAGTTCACCAAAGAAAGCAAAGTCCTCACACTTTCAGAGCTTTGAAATCCATGAGCCGCATTCCCTGATTCACACTGCCATGGATTTGGCGTAGTTTCCACTAACAGAATAGAGCCAGGGCCCTGGTTACAATGCTAGAGAAAAGGGGTCTAAGGATAGAAACCAACTTGGTTGGTCTGACCTGGATGGAATTAGAATGCTCACCATAACTTAGGTCTTCAATAAAATGTGTAATTTTGTACACAAATTACCACAGCAGCTATAGCCCCTACCATTAATGTAAAAAAGATCTAAAGAGGGAAATTGGGGGTTATGAAGGAGAAGGTGATTTTATTTGAAGAGTTGGAGTAAAATCTACTTTATCTGTAGTTCCCTTTGCAGGATATTGCAACACTGAACTAGGTCTACTGTTGCTTGCCAAGCCTTGAATCTGAAAACAGAAAGAAAAGATCATTCTAAATGTAAGTCTTACTTTCTAAATACTTTTGCCGTATGACCCACTCTAGAAGCAATTGAGTGTGCCAGCAAATTAGGCATTTAAGCTTCAAGTCCTAGTTACTTCATCTTAAAAGTGACAAAGCTGAATTTGATCTCCTTTAGTGTCCCTTCGTCTAATGCTTTATGGTTCTATAAATCTCTCTCTTCCTCTCACAAAAGGTGCCCTTGTTATCTTTCAAACAATAGCCAGGGTAAACAGTGAATGTTGTTGTTGTTAAGTGCCATTGAGTCGTTCCGACCCATAGCAACCCTGTATAGGGTTTCCAAGGAGCAGCAGGTGAGCTTAAACTGCCCACCTTGTGGTTCAAATCAACTTTGCACTCCAGCGCATTAACCCACGGTGCCACACCAGTAGTCCAAACATATGATAGGAAGGTATTTCTAATCATCAGCTATTTCTTTGGGTACATATTAGATGGCACATCCAAATAAAGCTAATCAATGAAGAAATGCATTAAGAATGTACTGACTATGGTCTAAACAAAGACTAACCAGGTGTACATTATTATGTAAAGTTTGCTTTTTTGCCAAGGTAGCAGATTACTCACCATCTGGCTTAAATGGAATTTTATTCTTATAAAAACGAAGATTGCTCAAGTCATTTTGGTATCGGATATCTTTGAAGTTCTGCTAAAGGAAAAAATAAATCAATCTCCAGCACATGGACATATAGAAAGGAACAAGGACCCTTCTTGCATGTTTGCTCATTGATATCATAAACTAAGGAATACTTTAAAAATAAAATTCAATACTCTTACTGGGTACTGATGTCGGTATTTGTACAAATCTCTTGCTGCATAAAAACTTCTCTTTGGTTTGACAGTTGCTTCAGTGGAATCACCACCACCCTGAAATAAAAAGTGAAACTCTATTTAAATACTGAAGCAAGACAATTCCAATGAGGAATTTCTAGAACAAAATTAAAATAATTTGCATCATTTTAAAAAGTCTAAAAACTATCAAGCTGCCCAGATATATGAAAATATAAATGTCCCTTTGCTAATGCTTACAAGCAATATTTGTTGGCATTATATTAGCCAACAAATTTGAACCAGTAACATTTTCCCTAAAGGATATGATTAAATTTAAAACTTTATTACTACTCACACATTGCTTATAAAGGCCAAGTTTTATGGATGACATCCACCAGAAATAGAGATCAAAATTAATTAGACATGTATTTTATGGTTGGTACAAGTAGATCTATGAAAAAAAAAAAAAAACTTATCTGGATACTTTACATAATTCTAAAAAAGTGTTTGGAAAACTAGATCAATTCTACAAAGAAAATTGTCATTAATTTTGAATATTTAGCTATTCTGGAAATTCAAGTAGTATTTTTGAAAGGAAAGGGAGCTTCTTAAGCAAACTAAATAGCTTTCTAAATCCCATCCTTTCTAACACTAACAAGGAGTACATAAAGGCATGAATAGTCTTCTCTGTTCATTCGGTGATAATGTAATGTAATATAAATCAGCAAATTTAAAATATATATACACAAAGCAGTAAAAAGCTCTCAAATGGAATAAACTTCAAATTGAAGCAATTAATTTGTAGTAGTTTACTCACACTATTGAAATTCTAAGCAAAATTCACACTACCATGAAGTTACTTTTAAAATATAAACTTTAATTCAATATAAACAATTTATATCCTCTATCTCTCTCTATATTATTATAGAGAAAGTGCTTTGTGCCCAGTGTTATGCAGGACAAGGAGACTGATGACAATGAAGAAAAAGAAGACAAAGTTTAGACTTGAATATGGCGCTGTTGGATAAGTACTGGACAGCCAATCACAAAGTCAGCAGGCCAACCCTACCAGCATCTTGAATGGAGAAAGGTGAAACTTTCTTCTCCCATTTGTGGTTGTTAAGTGCTGTTGATTGGTTCAGACTCATAGCAACCCTGGATAGGATTTCTGAGAAGTGGCTGGTGAGCCTGAACCGCAGACTCTGTGGTTCAAACCAACTGTGCAGTCCAGCACATTAATACAGTGAGTCAGAACTGACTAGATGGCTGCAGCAGAAGAATTCAGTAAGAGCTCTGGTTCCCAATCCTTTTCTCATCTCCCCCCTCCCCCATCTGTGTTGACAGAATGGCATCCTCTAAGCAATTTTCACACATTTTTGAAGTGTTGTGATCCTCACTATTACTACAAGTACAGAAATACTTTAATACCAAATCCTCTGATGTTGAACATTAGTTACTCTGTCATGTTACATAAGCAAGGAAGAGCTTACATTCTAGTCCTTGCCACACGTTTCAAAATAGCTCTGCCTAGCAAGTTTCTGAATCTATTTAGCCTGAGCTACAACTAAATGAATCATCATCTTACATTTGTATAGAAAGCATTTTTCCATTTACAAAGTACTTAGATGTATATTATTTCATTTGATTCTTACAGCATACCTGGATGGCAGTGTCTCCATTTTAGAGACGTAGCCAGCCAAGCCTTGTAAAAGTTAAATAAGACCCAATGATAGCACAGGAACTAGAATTTGAAGCTGCATAAAAATGAAAGGGAGTCCTGATGCGGCCCTGGGCTGCTAAACAAGGTTGGTGGTTCAAACCTACCAGCTGCTCCTTAGAAACTGTATACAGAATCTCTGTGAGTCAAATCCACTTGAAGACACTTAACAAAATAACAAAAGTGACAGGCTATTGTAGAAATCTTGGTATATTGTCAAAAGCACAAGAGTCAATTAAGAAAGAGACTTAGGCCACTCTTAAGAATAACTACTTAGTATTTGCGTTGCCTTTTCCACGGAAGCAAAGTCCTGGAGATCTGCTCTGGTAAAGATGGCAGTCTCCTAGGACCCCCTAGTCAGCAGCTCTACTCTGTACTACAGGGTCACTATGAGTAGAAATCAACTGGAAGACACACACATCAGAGCCTAACTTTCACCATCTGTGAAATTAAGAGAATGACTTACACCCTATCTACTACCCAAGATTGTCATGACCTCTGAATCTACCAGCCTTCATGCATCTTCTCTCATCTCTGCTTCTTTTGGACTCTTTATCCTGTCTCCCTCACTTGCTTAGGCAAGGATTTTGTTTCTGAAAATGTTGCTTCTCTTTCCTGTATCGTCCAAATTTCCCTTTCTTCTGGATCTCTCTTCCTCAGCAAACAAGCATGCCCTAGTATAACCAGTCTTGAAAAAGAACATGCAAAACCTTCCCTTTACCCAAATCCATCCTAAATTACAAATCTCTGTCTTATGTTTTATAGCAGAACATCACAAAAAAAGAGTTGTCCAAACTCTATAGCACCATCTCCTCTTCTCCCATTCTCCTGTCAGCACATCCCAATCAGGTTTTGTCCTTATCATTCCACCAAAATGGCTCTTGTACCAACCATAAACAAACCTCCATCTTGCCAAGTCACTTCTCAGTTTTCATCTCAGGGGACCTTGTAAAAGCATTAAACCATTAAACTCTCTCTCCTTCCTAAAACTAGTATACCACACTCTACTGGGTTTCTTTCTATCTTGCCCCTTTTCAGCATCCTTTTTGGCTTAGTCTTCATCCTCATCATTTCTTGATGGCTTCTTACTTTTCTGTGCCTTTGGATTCCTTTGATCTGTTAGTTGATGACTTCAACTCTGGTCTTAGACTCCATTCATAGATACAGTAACTACTCAACAATTTCACTTGAGTGTCTACTAAGGTATCAAACTCTGGAGAATCTTGTCTTTAATCATCTAATTATTTAGACTTCCCCATCTTAACTAATGGCACCATTATTGGTCCAATATCTACTTGGACTAGGATGGCAGCACTGGAGGTAGCGAGAAGTTGTCAGTCTGGAATACATTCATTCTAAGGTAGTTTCAGATGTAAATGGATTGTATGTGGAAAGGGAGCTAACAAATGGATAAAATAGTCACAAAGCAAAATAAGTATAATTTTTGGTGAAACTGCTAGCAAGAAAAATGTAGCATTAAAGGGGAATCGGGATGGTTGGGGTTGTTTACCATTTACTAAGGTTGTAATGAAATGAACCACCCATTATAAAATTTTTTTATATATATTTTCCTAGTAGTGGTTGTTAAGGGCCACTGAATCAGTTCTGACTCACTGCGACCCTTTATAGGGTTTCCGAGGAGTGTCTGGTTGAGTTTCTGGTTCAAACCTGCCTTTCAGTTCAGTGTTTATCCTACAGTGCCACACCAGGACTCCATTGATTAGATTAATTAAATTAGATTAGATTACTTAAATCTCACCTGGTGTGTTTGTGGTTGTTGTGCATTTTTGTGTGTTTGTTTTTGTTTTGATATCCCAAACTTCCAAAGAGAGGTAAGTCCAAAGGGAAAACTCTGAAATATAGCATCCAACACTTTCCTGGGTCGAATTAGCCATGCCCAATGCACAGAGCAATAACACGGGACACCAGGGCAAAGACCTATTCAGGATTTTTTAAGAGGTTAAAGGTTCTGACGTTGGTGTCAGTCATGTTTGTGTCTCTTCCTCTTTGATCTTAAGTAACTTTTTCTTTTTTTTTACTAAGCCTCCATTTTCTCTAAAATGGGGATTTAAAAAATAGCAACCCCCTCAGAACTGCAATTGATTTAAATGACATGTTTATGATAGAATCTGTATATAGACTTTTATAATGATCCCCACTGACCTTAACAGTTAGGGTAAGGAAGAACTGTGAGTCAGGGTTAGCAGATATAATTAAGTGATGATTCCACGACTATACAGACCAGCCCCAGAGACTTAATCAAAAGATCAAAAATTAAAGATTAGCACTAGTTTTACTGGACAAAGAACTTTTAATTAGCTAGAAGGAAGACCTAGTTAATTAATGTAATGGGGCTGTGCAAAGACATGGTAGCAAACAACACTGAGTTCGGTCCCATTTGACTTTGGGCTCTATTTTCCCACACTCTTCGCTACTCCCACCCCTACCCTGTTTCTCACCTCCAGCTGATAAAAGAGAAAGATTTAATGCAGAACTGCAAACCTTACACACTTACATGATACATGCATCTTTAAAAATTCCTCCTTTTTTAAAAGTTTTCTGAATTATTTTCAGTCTATCAGGGGTTAAAAGGTTTTTTGTTTTTGTTTTGTTTTTCCTGTGTTTACTTTTTGCTCCTGTAAAGATTTACAGTCTCTGAAGCCCTACACAGCAGTCTACTCTTGTCCTATAGGATTGCTATAAGTCGGAATTGACTCCACAGCACTGGGTTTTACTAACCTCTCCTTCAAAGTATATTAGTCAAGTGATTTAAGCACAACTGAATCAACAAGTCCTCCTGGGTGAAATAAGATTTTTGAAGCGTGCCCTGAACTTGGCCCACAGGCCTTACTTGGGGTTAGAACTGTGGCGTTTTAACTTCAAAGAGGTACCATCAACAATACTTTTAATGGCTGTAGGCCCCACTGTAGGGGTTGCTTGTCAATTGCAGTTACATCTTATTCTGAGTAATTTTTTTTATCAATAACACGCACTAGACGGGTTTTCACAATATTCTATTTTTAGACAGGTTCCGCCCACCCCACCTTCACTTTACCCAGCTGCGCCGCAGAGGCAAAGAAAACACCCATTCAAGTTGGGTTCTTCCTTGAGTGACTTCCCTGTCGTGCCCAACACCAGGCCCCAGACTGGTAGCGGCCAGCCCTGGCGCCCCTGGTCACCGCAGGCCCCAGGGCAGCGGGACAGCTGAGAGGAGGGTTCCAATCGTAGAGGACGCGCAGCCGTCCGGCGCCCCTGGCCTCCACGCGCGCGGTCGCTTGTCGCTTGCTCCTCTCCCCTCCGATGTCCTTCCTCCCCGGCGCCGGGGGCAGGGACGCCCCGGCCCGAGGCCACCGCGGGGCCGCGTACCTGCTCTGTGCCCGCCGCCTCGGCGTCCTCGTCCGGCGCGAGACTGCTGTGGGGCCGCCCGCAGGCTCGCTCCAGGGTCTGCGCCGGCTGCTCTGGCTCCTGTCCCGGGCCCTCGCCACCATTCGGCCCCGGCTCCTCGGGCTCGGGCTCAGGCTCTGAGTCCGTCTGCCAGGTGGAGTCGCAGTCCTCCACGGTGGTGGGCTCGCGGAAATTGACCCCGCCGAGCAGGTTGCCCATTGAAGAGGCAGCAGCGGGCGCGGGGCTGTGGGGCTGCGGGGCGCGCTGCGGCTGGCGCGCTAGGGCCCGGGCATGGCCGCGGCGAGGGCGCTGGGCGGCAGCCTCGGCGCGCCCGCCGCCGCACTGCCTCAGCGCGGTGAACAACAGACAGGCACACTCGCGGGGAGGAGCCGGCGGCCCCGGGACCGCCGCCGCAAACGCTTGAACCCGCCCATCTGGTTCCTTCTCTCCACGTCGGCGTGGGCCAGGAGTCCAGGCGGGGCTCGGCGTCCACCCCTGACCAGAATACCTCAGCTGGAGATTGTGGGGCCGCGCCTCGCTTTCCACTTTTCACCCCACAAGGCCTGCCCTCACTCGGTCCCCTGCTGTCCCTTGGGGGTGGATCTGGGCCTGATGACCTCCCCTAGGGGCCCTCGGTGATCTGAGGCTACTTCCAGCAGAGCAGGAAAGGTGATCCCGCCTGGTTGTAGGAGCAGTTGCCCTGTGTAGAGGTGATGTTGGAGGAGGTGTCACTATCATCACACAGGTCCTGTCCACACTCCCTAGCCCTCTTCTGGCTGGTTCAGGAGAAAGATAAATTTAATTACAGCCACAGAAAAGGGAAACTAATGGTGATCAAGCACCCCAAAAAAATTCAAACTACCAGCACTGTACTTAGCAGTCACCTAGATTCCTTGTGATCCAGATAAAGTCAAAGCTATCTGTCACTTCATCTAATAAGTAAAAGTCTCTTGAAATAAACAAAAGGAATTATACCAACTAGTCTTTCGTGACATGTCTTATGAAGACTCGAATTGGTGCTCTGAGTAGAATAAAAACCCACAACCCTTGGCCCTTTGATGTCTTCCATAAATGAAAGCAAGGAGGGTTACACGTGTTATAGAAGTGCTAACGAATAAAATAACACGATCAAAGAAGTGACCTGGAGAAAAGGACAGTGATTGTTGTAAAATTTATATTATGACCTTCTAACTAGAAAGAGAGGAGTCCTGATGTGGCGCTGTATGATAAGCACTGAACTGCTAACCAAAAGGTCTGCGGTTCAAAGCCACCAGCCATTCCTTGGGAACCCTATACAGGATCCCTACAAGTCCGAATCAACTCCATGACACTTAACAACATCAGCAACAATATAAGGAAAAGAAAGAACGAGATGAAGGAGAAAGTCTTGGCTTTAACAGCAGGCAGGTTTATTGAGCGTAACCCTGGGAGGGGGTACTCTTACTACACCAAAGGAGACCAAGAGCCTGCCTGTTTTCTTCCAGACTGGGGTATTTAAAAGCCCTGTGGTCTGGGTACAGTTCAGGTGAGTATACAATGGGGGGCAGGGTATACAATTTGGGCAAGGGTATGGAGATTTTCCTGAAACCTGTAATTTC